GTGGTGGTGGGCGCCTGTAATCACAGCTACTTCAGAGGCTGAGGCAGGAGGATTGCTTGAACCTGGGAGACGGAGGTTGCAGTGAGCTGAGACTATGCCACCGCACTCCAGCCTGGGCGACAAGAGCAAAACTCTGTCTCAAAAAGAAAAAAAAAGAAAAAAGGAAAGAAATTCTGTCACATTTCTTACTTAATTTTAGCTTGATTCATTGGAAAAATAAAAACTTTGTCTTGAGAATATAAATATATCAATATTAAAAAAGCCATTGTATTTACCTCAGTACAGAACCAAGATTCCCTAATAGTTTTTAAACAGTCCTCATCATTATGACTTGTACTCTGCTGTCTTAGAGATGAGGTAAAGACAGCAGGGGAAAGCACACGTGTTGGGGGTCAAAAATCACGGAGTGACATGCTTTCACCAGGCTGTGGGGTTTTCTTTTCATAACAAACATAACTAGAAGGCAATACTGTTTGTCATTAGAAAGTGGTTTTCAAGAAGGCGGAAATGTCAAGCTTGGCCTCTCTGTGGAGGCAGGTGTAAGCACGGGGGTTTGCGGGGAGGCGGGGCACCAGGTGTGCACTGACCTGCTTGGCACTCCTCTCAAAGACCACGTACTGCTGACACTGGTCCAGCCTTCTTTTCCTCATGGTCCAATAATGCAATACCCTGTTCTCCCGCTGGAAGAGCTCATTCAAGATATCTGAGAGAAAAAAGAAAATGATGTATGTTGGTGCTTGCAATCAATTAAAACAGCTGCAAAATTCCATTCATTTTTATTGAGACTTTTAGGCAAATGCCATGCCAAGACAGCACGATAAATAAAGAATCGCGCTGCTTTCCTGTCTCAGTGAGCATGTCGACCAGACCTCTTCTCACTCTCACCTCCGTTGAGCATCTTACGATAAAGAGACCACTGGAAATTTGAGGTCAGTCTGTCATACCTCCGGCTGGATGGATTCGTGGGATATGTGTATTTTGTAATATGCATTCTACATAATGCACAAGTTGGTAATATGCAATTCGACAATGGCTGAAAAAAAATCAGCATTTTTTTCAAGACTGTTAAAACTTTGTGTAGATGGAGTTTTATACAGATTAAAGGTTATATCAAAGTGGTGGAGTAATAATCAACAAGTGTGGATTTAAAAAAAAAAAACAAAAAAACAAAAACCAGGCCGGGTGCGGTGGCTCACATGTGTAATCCCAGTACTTTGGGAGGCTGAAGAGGGCGGGTGGATCACTTGAGGTCAGGAGTGCAAGACCAGCCTGGCCAACATGGTGAAACTGTCTGTACTAAAAATACAAAAATTAGCAGGGTGTGGTGGTGGGCGCCTGTA